TAACTAGTGTCATGTACATGATATCTCTCAGCGTATCAGCGTGATTCGGTAACAGTAAAAACTGGAGGTGTGTTATTTTTGTCGTGTTCGACTTCATAGTACGCGATCTACGCGTTGTTCAGTGACTGTTTCAATTTTCTATTGTGTGTCAGTATTGTTGCTATTTCGAGTTTGACTGATTTTGTTTGACTTCCATCATAGTTTTGTATAAAAATAGCCCAGTATATTTCTATTTATTCTTAATTTCAGGAAATGAAAAACACGAGATCGCTCAGGGGTTGCCAAGTTCTTCAGAGAAATTGTCATTATCTTTGTCAAAATGTTCTCCTAAAATAGCTTCCCACTCGTAATTATCGTCCTCAGATTTGCCAAATTTTTCTGTAACTGCCATTTTCGGAGTTCACTGACAACTACTGTCGTCTATGCCACTTACTGTTTCTATGTCTCGCGATGCATCGCGATAGTTGATTGTAATATGAATAGATCTCGTGTTATTTTGTGAGATCTAATGAAAATCTTGTTGCTCAGCAACATTTACTCGGTACGATAAGAACTGATAACCTAAACAAACGTGGCACGCATTACTTCAAAAGAAAACGCCGCGTTGCGAGTCTGTTGTATTACTAGTCTGAGACTAGATACTGCATACTTTGAGGTATCCTTATGATTACCTACTTCATATTATTGTATGTTATAGTCACTATTGTGTATTTATTGTATGTGGTATTCAGGTTTGAGTATAGGTGTACATCTAACCAAGTCTGACTGCGGCTGATTTGGGTATGTAGTTGCTAGCTGACTGACTTCCTAAGTCTTTTTATGTAAATTATGCACAGAGTTGATTTGATGAATGTCAGCATTTCACATTTCAACTCTAGAGGGCAGTACAAGATGTGGATGTGCCATATGTACCCATACACACCCTGGCCTGTGTATTTACCTGCATTCTTTCATATGTAGCCATACAGTTAGTAAAATCTGACTATGCTAGGATCTGAGTGGATCCACTGCCCTAGAGCAGTACAGCTTCTTTATAAATCCAGCAATAAACATTAATCATGTCAAAGTAATCTATATATCTCATTATTTTTGACTCCCATGTGCGAAGCACAAAATGGGAGTCTTTGCAGTTAGTGTGTCTGTATGTGTGTATGTGTGTATGTGTGTACATGTATGTGTGTGTGTATGTGTGTCCGACTGTTCCACTGCTATCTCAAGAACCATACATCGGTTTTTGATGAAACTTGGTGCATAGATGCTCTGGGCCAATGCGCAGATTTGATTAGGTTTTGGTAAAAATCCATGCTCGTTAATTACCTAATTTGCATGATAATTAGCTAATTTTTAGCTGTTCTATGACTGTTCCACTGATATCTAAAGAACCACTCATTGGATTTTGATGAAACTTGGTACATAGATGCTCTGAACATATGCGCAGATTTGATTAATTTTTGGTAAAAATCCGTGCATATTAATTACCTAATTTGCATGATAATTAGCTATTTTTTAGTGGTTCCATGACTGTTCCACTGATATCTAAACAACCACTCATTGGATTTTGATAAAACTTGGTACATAGATGCTCTGAACTAATGCTAGGTTTTGATTAGTTTTTGGTAATAATCCGTGGATACTAATTACCTAATTTGCATAATGATTAGTCAATTTTCGGTTTTTCCACTGATATCTCAAGTACTAATCATCACATTTCAATGAAACTTGGTACATAGATGTCATACGACACTGCACAGACCTGATAGTTTTTATGGTAATATCAGTACATATTAATTACCTAATTTGCATAATTAATTAATTTTCAGCATTTGATATAAGTAGTTAGCATTACATTTCAATGAAACTTGGTACTTACATACTCAAGGACTATGCAGAGATTGATTGTTTTCGATAAATATTTGTGCATATTAATCACCTAATTTGCATAATTAGTTAATTTTCAGCTTTTCCATGGGTATCTCAAGTACTAATCATCGCATTTCAATGAAACTTGGTACATAGATCCTTTAGGACTATGCAGAGACCTGATTAGTTTTAGGGTAA